CCTCTGACACTTTGAAAAACTGAGGCTGGAGCCCTGCACAGTAGGTATGCATACTTCTAAAATGGGAATCTTTTTGGACTGTGTGTATAAGCAGCCTCTCACTTCAGTGGCTCAGTCTAGTGTGGTAAGACGCTTATAGCTGCTCTTATTTATCCATGGAGCTACATCCCCAGCCCCTTGTTTATAGCTGCAGGAGTAACTGTGCTGTGTAAAATCTAAACCGTTGATTGACACCTGGTGCCAGGATCAATTCGCTACAAGGGAGAGGACTCCCTGTATTTGTGGATGTAGGGCCAACAGGTTGTTTATCTCTAACTTTGGGACACTGGCTCATCTGAGCAGAGAAGGCTGATCAGTGCCTCTGATCACAAGCCTGAAGGCCAGCAGAGCACACTGTGACATCACTAAAGGACCCATGTCACAATGGGCTCTGCACTAGGAAGGCCAGGCCATCTCTGGGCTGAGCTTATTTCTCCTGAGGGTCTGTAGTGGCCACAAGGGCTTTGTTGTTGTTTAAAATAGTTAAAATGACTGGGTTTTTTCTTTTTTATGCTGAATTCTTGAGAATATTGGCTTGTATCTGTGGCAAAGGTTTTCAATAGTACTTTCTTTCTTTTTCAGGTCACAGTATTCCAAGCAATCAAACACCCTGTCCAGCGTGGGTACAGACTCATGCACAGACAGCTTTGGGGCACTGATTTTGTACACCAGACGGGTATGTAACATGATTCTCAGTTGTGTTTATAAAACCCTTCTGTCCAGTAGGCTCTCTTTCAATGTTCATTCTCTCAGGGAATTCCTGGGTTCCTATCTGGGTGGGTGCTGGGTCCACTTATACTCGCCAGTTCTCCCTGCTGATTGTGGCATTTTGGAAATCCTCCCAGTGTGGATGGAAAGACCAAACTGTTTGATAATCCCCACCACCCCTGAGCTCAGTGCAGACTCAAAGCCAATATTTAAGTAGAGCTGAATGCCTTGCTCTTTAGAGGTATGCCCCTCTGAAATGCCTTTGTCCAGCTACTCCTGCCATGTGGAGGTTTGGTAGAAATCTTGTGTCCAGCAGGAGTCCAATCAGTATCATAACTCTATCCTTTAGCACTCAACAGTGAGCTGAGACCTTTCAATGCTATCAGAGTGGCCTTAGTGCTGAGGACAAATTTGTGGTGATCCTGTGTCCTCTGTATTGCTGAGGAAAGTCTCTTCTCTCATCCTAACTGGGCTCTCTTATGGATGATGTGACACTTCCTTGCGATATGCATTCTGCTGTGTGGCCTTCTAGTTAGGCAGTTTCATTGACACCTAACTGAAATCAATACTGTGAAGGATCAGTTCATGATCCTTCATGAACTCATCTGTCATGTCTTTAGGGGAAGAAAATGGCAGCTGTCCCATTTCAATTGGGTATTCCTTTCCCATAGCACCCTCACACTGGCTCAGTGACAGTGTAAGCAAGGAGCTACTTTCAGTTCTTTGTTTTGGCCTATACTCCTAAGGTTCACAGAGTTGGCCCCCACATACCATGATGCTGACATGGCTAGCTGGTTTAGGGTTCAGCCATCGCTAGTTTAATGTTCTGTGTGGCATGTGTTTATGATTACTCTCAAAAACACCTGGGTAGGGAGAGGTAAGGGGCCAAGCATCATAAATCCATCATCACCTCATCAACTTGTCACCTCTGTCTTTGAGCCAATTATTTTACTTTTTGAGTTATGTATTGTATAACAAATAACTCAAATTTATAACTCTTTATGATTGAATAGTACTCAATTTTATATACATACTACATTTTCTGTATTTATGTATCTGTTGATTAGCTTACAGACCCCTTCCAAAAAACTGAGGAAAAAAAAAAGATTTAGTACAATGAGTTGTGCTGGTATAAACAGGAATATGTTTGTATTACTGTTAATGTGATTTCTTTAAATTCTTTGGGGACATGTACAAAAGAGGTTTGCCTGGGTCAAATGTAATCTCTATTCTTACATTTTTGAGGACTCTCTATTACTGATTTTCAAAGTAGTTGTAGTAGCTTACATTCTGCCCAACAAAATGGAAGGGTTCTTTTCCCCACTATCTATCTCACCAGTATTTGCTGTTTTGGGAATCCTTGATGATAGCCATTCTTTCTGGAGTAAGGTGGAATCTGGGAATTGTTTTGATTTGCATTTCCATAATGGCCAAAGATGCTAAAGTAAGTAGTTGTAGTAGCTTACATTCTGCCCAACAAAATGGAAGGGTTCTTTTCCCCACTATCTCTCTCACCAGTATTTGCTGTTTTGGGAATCCTTGATGATAGCCATTCTTTCTGGAGTAAGGTGGAATCTGGGAATTGTTTTGATTTGCATTTCCCTAATGGCCAACGATGCTAAAGTACTTTTCATGTACCTATGGGGCATTTGCACTTCTGGTTTTGAGAAGATTTATTCATTTATATTCAGTTGTGGGCATATTTCTTCACTAGTACACAAGCACTTAACCCCACAACCACATGGGCATTCACTTTTTATGAAAATATACATGATTTGGAATTTACAGTATAAAATTTTAAAATTTCATATTCACTCTTATTCAGAGGTTTCTTGAAACTGTATTATTAAAGGTACAATTCTGTTGCAGGTAAATGGAGAATTCAAAGTCCAAGCATCATAGACGTAAAAAAAGGAAAAAAGAGTCAAACAACTTGAAACATGATTCTAGCAATGTTCTGAGCAGGTAATGATACTACCTATACTTTGTGTGGTGTCGTATTTTGAGTGCTGTAGTACAAATTTATCTTTTCAGAAAGAGAAAATGTGGACTCAAGGCAGACTTTTTGGTAAATTTGCATAGATTTTTATTTTCCAAGACAATAAACCCCTTTCATGTGTGAAAAAGATATAGGCAGTAATATCTTAAATTGTACCAAATGTTTCGTGACAATATATCACACAAACAAAACTGCTTTTGATATATATGTATATATATATATAATACACACACACACACACACACACACACACACACACACATTGCTTGGTACTCGGGATTAAACCCAAGATCTCTGCACTGAATTATATCTGTGGCTCTTTTTTTTTTTTTTTTGGTTTGTTTTTT